ATCTATCTATCTATCTATCTATCTATCTATCTATCTATCTATCTATCAAAAAGACCTTACAGATACAAACTGTAAAAAAAAGCTTCCTTTTTATTTCTTTAAAAGTTTTGTCAGTGCAACAAACACAAAATATGTTGAATGGCAAATTCAGAGAAACTCGAGGTTCTGATTTAATAGATATTTTGCCGTTCATTACTTTTTCTTATGGGTATAAGTTCAAAAAGTAAAATAAAAAAATAAAGAAAATAATTATACATAAAGAACAGAGACGTTAGCTTCCCCTTTTTTGATGCACACACTGTTATTAGTAGAAATAGTTGCTTCTCCTCCACATTTGTTCTCATTTGCCTTTTACCTTCTGGAACTCAAGTGTCAACAAACACCTCATTATTTCACAGGAAAAAGCTGAAGTTTTTTCTCTTTGACACTTGTCTTTATCTACAGAGCTTAAGTTCAGTTGTGCGCTAATAATCTTGGAGCAGAGGGAAAAGTCGTCTTTACTGTAGTGCCTGTTCGTGGTTTACTTCTCATTGTGTTTGAAATTACGCATCCTGATAAAAAACGTCACATACGGTGGACTGGTCAGAAGCCTGGACAGCAGGTAGAGGCACAGTGTGCACACAGCCACAGTCCAGCTTTGTCCTGCTCGGTTAGTGAACGCTGCAGCTTGATTATTATGAGGTTCTGGTTCCATTCGGTTTGTTCACATAGTTTGCACTCTTGCCACAATCTTTGTTCACAGATACTTCATTAAGATATTTGGATTTGAATGAAAATACATAGAATAAGTGGTCCAAGGCTGCAGAGGTAATCTGTGATGTTCTTAATTGGGTGTTATTATTAAGGCAAAAATATAGCCAAGGCGAAAGTTATATTTTTAATTAATTTAAAAAAGACTAAATAAAAGGGTCTCTTATTTAGATTTCAGATTCAATTGTGGAAAGAAAGGGCATACCGTGTGTATTACAGTGCTTAAAGATAGATGGAGTTCGTGATGGACTTGTTTATGCATTCTGTGTGCTGTGTATGTTGCCAGTGACTCATGGGGCTCCATCTTTTGGGAAAGTCAGATATTTTTGATGATGCGTTTTGCAAATCCCTTTTGAAAGTTACTTGTGTTCATTTTCATTTCAAACTTTCTATCAAGACTTTTTCTTGGGAAGCAGCCACATGGTACTGAATCTCAAATTCCATATGACAGAAGCCAGTGAGAACTTTTTGTTTTTGGTAATTGGTAATGACTTGGCACCATGGTAAGAGAATTCTTTTGGGTGATAAAAAGTACTTGTAATGGAGCTGGGGTTTTCATAAAATGGCCTAAGATCATTTAAAGTGGTTGGGTTAAAATATTTATATTCCGAAGTGCTTCTTTCTTCCAGCAAATTTGGGCTAACTTTGATCAGGATACTTTAATGATGCGATAGCTGAAATTCATGAAGTTACTTTCTTGTGGATTGCAACATCATCAATAGCTTGCATGAAACGTTTTAGGTGTTGCCGTAGTATCAGGGTTTGAGAGGAAATCTCCGTGATTTCTCTATTTCGGTCTTATCACTCCTCTAAACCCCAGCTGCCATGCCCTGTTCTCTTGTTCCTGAAAATAACAAAGCTCTCCTCAGGAAACATAATCAAGGTGATCAGGCATCAGTTTGAGCTCAAACACGTCTTTGTATTTGTTCAAGCCAACCGTTCCACCGGTGTGCGGGGACGTGTGGCAACCCTAAACAGAACAACCTCAACCTCTAATTTCTGCCCCAGTATGTATCAATTGCGGGGCATGCATTCTGAGCCGGCTGTGGGAATATTCCATAAACACAGCGCCGTGCCACGCCCTTCCCCCAGCAATCACCACTGATTAGACCTTTGCTTCCCACTTTGCCACTTGTGCACCTCCATCTTTACTTTTGCGCTCTCTGCCTAGCAACAAGCACAGGCGCCATTTTGGACAGGGTATACATCAGTCGGATATAAATAAATCCGTTTCACCTTGGCATCCACAGAATTATTATCATAACCCCCCGTGCTGCTGTTGGGCTGTACTTGGGACCCAGCTGTGTTCCGGGGGGTGGGCTGCTTTGTCACACCAGGCCTTTGCTTTTATGTATCATCGTAACTGTATATGACATCTTGCGTAACTGACACCGTGCGGCTCCCATACCTTTCCGAATGTGCCCCGGCTTTGGCTGGAAAGGCTGTGTCAGCACTGAAACTGACTGACCAAGTATGATTTTAATTGGATCTCTGCCCCCCCCCATTCCCCAGGTCACGTCAGTAGTGCATTCGCTCCCCAACTTGCTTTGTTTTCATCAACCACTATACATCCCCTCCCCCCATTTTTTCCCCACAGATCCTCTTGTTCCTCTGTCTCATCTACCTCTATCCCTGCAGCTCCTGGCTATCTTCTCCCTCAATGGCTTCTTCACAATGACCCCTTAATCTTTGTCAGTGTGACTCCATGGTAAGTAGGTATCCTCAGCCAAATAGTCTCTTTGACATAAATGGAACTTGACTCATAAATGTGCTTTTCTTTCTGTGCACAATCATACCCTCTATTGTATGTTTTTCCCCATTCCTACCATCAGGTGATTAATACAAAGTCGATGTGTGAATTTAAAACATCAATGATAAAAAACTATTCATAATCCGGCAAACTGTAACAAGCCATGGAGAGAGATGTAATCTGAAGATCTAAAAAACATCATATGCAGCAACTACGCAAAAATAAAAAGGTTACAGTGGGATTAGTGGGAGGCTCATGTGAATTGTTGCTATCTGAGATCAGATGATTTGCTTCATGTGGAATAAGACCGTGTTAATTTGACAGCTGACAGTTAACAGGCTCTTGTAATCTATTCATTACACCAAGAGCTCTTGTGTAAAACAATGCAATCTTTGCTTTTATAAACAGATGTTTAATGAAATAGATTACCAGAGTTGTAATTCAACCAGACCAATCCTTTACATTTCCCTCTCTTGTTCATCTGCACAGCAGTTTTCTGAGTTCTGCGGTGCCAGCCCCCCTCTGTGGTCCGGCATGCACCAGGGTTTACTAAACAAGGCTCCTTTTTAATGGTCTCAACCGTCACTTCTCTGTCAATTTAAGGCCAAGCTCCTGATATGGCCAGCTCTGACTATTGTTACAGAATATTTCGAGAAGTGGTGTAACTGACTAAAATATCATTGACTAGCCAGCACGCAGCAGTTAGAGAGTAAGGCCTTGCCCACCCTCATATCTAATGCATGCCTGTCTTTTGATGAATTGCAATTTACCCCTGTGGATGGGTCTTAAAATGATGTTTTTTTTTCTTTTGACATTTATTATCTATGCCTTATATAACTGATTCTTTGACAACTTCTGATGAGCCCTTTTTAAGATATATTTCACAGCCCTCTCTGAAGCCCAGGGGGTGATCATATTCATGGCAATGGTTACCTCAATCAAAAAAAATAAACAACAGAAGTGATAGCTTAATTTATTTTTCTTTTACATATTGGTTGCAACATCCTTTGCCTGATGTAATGGGGTAAAAAATGTGAATAATACAAAAGGACATATCTTTTCAAATTCAACAATTTTTGGGGAGATACAGCTGGTCGTGTGGGATGAGCGGGCCTTTGAAGATCCCTCAGCTCCTGCAAGCTCCAAACCTCTGAGATGCACTGCCATCCTTTTAGGAAGGGACTGACCAAAACGTTGGTGGCCATGCTTTTAATCCCCTTTCCAGACCATTGTCATCAGAGATCAACCAGGCTGAACCCTGATGTCCTCCGCTCTCTCGCAAG